GCTTTTTGTACCACCAGCTGAGGACCGAGAACAAACCCCTGGCGTTTCAGTAACAGAAACAAACTGGGCTTGGATTCCAGTTCTGCCTCTTACAGGACATGTGTCCTTAAACAAGACTTTCCCCTCCATGTCTTCTTTTCCTCATTGGAGCAGTGGGCACATAGGCCCGGCCTGGCATAGTCACGCTCAATGAAACCTGAATGTGGGAGCACTGTTTGTACTGTAAAATGCTATACATCGGAGAAATGGTTATACTGTTGTCAACCAAAAGCCTTCAAGCCACACTGGACTTGGGTTTGAAATGGCTTCGCCGACTTGTGACCTCACCCTAAATTGCTAAAAGGTGACATCATCCCTCCTTCCTCTGCCTGAAAGGACAGCAGTCGAGCGGGCTTCAGGGTTGGCTTAATCCAGGCACTGCAGTTTTTTCCAGGCCATCCCTCAAGTATCTGCCTCATCTTCACTTCCCCACGTAGTGGTGTCCAAAGAAGGGAAAAGAGACTTCTTCCACAGCTCTCTCAGGAGACAAAAGAATCTCTCCTGGAAAGCCCAGTGAACTCCTCAGCATGTCCACCGGCCTGAGTTGTATTTCATGCCCCTTTCTGAACTGATCTCTGGCAACGAGAATGGGTCGTTCTTTAACCAACCACTCCCAGATCTGGGGGTGGAATCCACTTCCCCTGAGGCACATGGATTCCATGAAGTGTGTTTGTGGGTACGTGGGTAGGGGGACAGGGGGCCATGCTAAAGAACTGCACAAAATCGGAGTTCTCTTAGAAAGGAAGCAGTGGTGAAGGGGTAACATGTACACAGAAGAGTCTGGGTGAAAACACGTATGTTCAGTGTATGACATGTTTTTGTTAAAAAACAAGGGGGGTGATAAAAGGAAATAGATGAATATACAAGGGAAATATACAAGTATTTCATAAATACAAATGTACATATTTGTGTACACATAAAATATATTTGGAAAGATAAACAAAGAAACCGTTGATGTGGCTGTCTCATGGACAGGATCCAGATATCTGGAGACAGGGATGGGAGAGAAACTTTTCAGTCTACACTCATTTATGCTGCTTAAGTTTTGAACCGTTTGCATATATTGCTAATTCAAAAATAATTAATGAGTCAATTTTTAAAGTGGAATTCAGAAGCATGAAAGTGTGACAGAACACAGTTACTACACGTCTAGCCCCTGTCAAGGACTTTGTCGAGAATAAGGTGAATATGCTTTCTTATTCATCCTAGGGCCCAGTGGATAACTGTTAGCTCGAATATTCACACATATACACCCCAAGCATTAATTTTCAAAGGCAATGCAGTCTGAATTCATGCTTAGGAAGGGAAATAATCTCTTACCTGGTTTATAATCTGAACTACAGTTTCTGCTTCCAATTGGAGAATCATTTTTTTTTTCCATTCCAAACCTCTAAAACCCAGTGATCCTCAACCAAGGGTAATTTCGCTCCAAGGGACATTTGACAATGTCTGAAAACACTTTGGCTGTCAGAACTTGGGGCATTTAGTGGATCAAGGCCAGGAATGCTGCTAAACACCCTACCGTGGACGGCACAGTGCCTCCCAACAAAGAATTATCCAGCCCAAAATGTCACTAGTGCCACCATTGAGAAATCCTGCTCTAAGACGAAAGGCACCAGAAAAGAGCACAGGAATCAAGCCCTCAGTGGCCACCATTCAGTAAAACCTCTGCCTTTGAAACGGTCACTTGCCTTACTCTCAGCTGGCCAAAATTCTTACACGTGAAAAAGGAAGCAACCATATCTCAACAAAGTTGGAAAAACAACAACAAGTAACCTTCAAAACAGTAAGCACCAAACCCCAGTTTAGTTAGTGAATTTTATCAAACATTTAAGGAATAAATATACCAATTCTTTACAATCTCCTCTAGAAAATGGAAACAGAGGGAATAGTTCCTAAATCATTCCGTGTGGCTGGCATAACCCTAGTACAAAAACCAGACACAGGCATTACGAAGGATGAAAATCACAAACCAGTGTTTTTCGCAGACATATACACAACAGTTCGGACATGGTGGCTCCCACCTGTCATCCCAGAATTCTGGGAGACCGAAGCAGGCAGACTGCTTGAGCCCAGAAGTTTGAGACCAGTCTGGACAACATGGAGACACCTCATCTCTACAAAAAATACTAAAGTTAGCCAGGCATGGTGGCACATGCCTATAGTCCCAGCTATCTGGAAGACTGAAGTGGGAGGATCAACTGAGCCCAGAAGGTTGAGGCTGCAGCAAGCTCTGATCGCACCACTGAGCTCTAGCCTAGGCAACAGAGCAAAACCCTGTCTCCAAATAAAAAAAAAAAAGAAAGAAAATTCTCAACAAAATATTAGCAAATCAACTCCAACAATGGATTATAAAATTATATACCAAAATCAAGTGACATTTATTCTAAGTGTGCAAGTTTGGGTTGGCCTTCAAATATCAATGATTGTAATCTATCACATCAATGCTGAAGAAGAAAAACCATGCAATCATCTAAATGGGATAAATGGGTGCAGAAAATGCACTCAACAAATTCTAACATCCGTTCATGATATTTTAAAAATCCTAGCAAACTAAGAACAGAGAAAAACTTCCTCAACTTGATTAAAGGACATCTATGAATAACGTGCAACTGACATCACACTCAGTAGAGATAAAATGGAGTCTTGCTCTGTCGCCCAGGCTGGAGTGCTGTGGCACAATCTTGGCTCATGGCAACCTCCACCTCCTGGGTTCAAGCCGTTCTCCTGTCTCATCTCCCCAGTAGCTAGGATTACATGCATGCACCACCACGCCCAGCTAATTTTTGCATTTTTAGTAGATGGTTTCACCATATCGTCCAGACTGGTCTTGAACTCCTGACCCTGTGCTCTGCCTGCCTTGGCCTCCCAAAGTCCTGGGATTACGGGTGTGAGCCACCATGCCCAGACATCTTTTTAACAAACTACACATCCAATGAAAAAAAAAGTACATCTAGACACAGATATTATATTCTTCACAAAAATCACCTCAAAGTGAATCACAGGCCTATATGTAAAATGTAAAACTATAAAATCCCTAGTTAATAATGTAGGAGCAAACCTAGGTGACCTTGGGTATGGTAGTTAGAACACAAAGGCATGATCCATGAAGGAACAAATTAATAAGCTGGACTTCAATAAAATTACAAATTTCTACTCTGTGAAAGACACTGCCAAGGGAATGAGAAACTGGGATGAAATATTTGCAAAAGATATATTGAATAGGGACTGCATCTAAAATATACAAACAACTCTTAAAACTCAACAGTGAGAAAATGAACAACCTAATTTTTTTTAAAGGTTAGAACAAATTTACTTTTATTTTTTTTTAACTTTTCTTTTTTTATTGCATTTTAGGTTTTGGGGTACATGTGTAGAACATGCAAGATAGTTGCATAGGTACACACGTGGCAGTGTGATTTGCTGCCTTCCTCCCCTTCACCCACATCTGGCATTTCTCCCCATGCTATCCCTCCCCAAATCCCACCCCTGCTGTTCCTCTACTATTCCCCCCAATAGACCTCAGTGTGTAGTGCTCCCCTCCCTGTGTCCATGTGTTCTCATTGTTCATCACAACCTAATTTTTTAAACAGACAAAAGACCTAAATAGACGCCTCACCTAAGAAGACATACAGACAGCAAATAAGCACTGAAAATGCTCAACATAATATGTCGTAGGGAACCTCAAATTAAAACAACAATGAGCTACCACCACATACCTATTAGAATGGCCAAAATCCAAAACACCAGCAGCATCAAATGACACCAAGTATGTGGAACAATGGGAACGCTCTTTCATTGCTGGTGGGAATGTAAAATGGTACAGATATTTTAGAAGACAGTTTGACAGTTTCTCACAAAATTTAACATACTCTTGCCATATGATCCAGCAATCACGCTACTTGGTATTTCCCCAAATGAATTGAAAACATATGCACACACCGAAACCTGCACACAAATGTTTACAGCACCTTTATTCATAATTGCCAAAACTTGGAGACAACCAAGATGTCCTTCAACAAGCAAAGGGATAAAAACTGTGGTATATTCATCTAATGGAATATTATTCAGTGATAAAGATAAACGAGCTGTCAATAGCTATTACAAAAGCACGAAGGAAACTCAAATGTATACAGCTAAGTAAAAGAAGCCAGTCTGAAAAGGCGGCAGTACTGCTTGACATTCTGGAAAATGCAAAATCATACACAGTAAAAAAAAAAAAAAGAGCAGTAGAAGCCAGAGCTCATGGAGTGGGGAAGGGGAAGAAGGAACAGTTGTACAGAAGGCATTCGGGGTGGTAAATGACTGTGTATAGTACTGTAATGGTGGATTCATGACAATATGCACTTACCAAAACCCACAGGACTGCACACCACAAAGACTGATTTCCTAACATCAACTATGCACTGACATTTTTGTTAAACCAAGTATTCCTTTGTGTTTAACTACACTGTCTGAACGTTTATCTTCTCTGATCTTAGTACAGCCACTTCAGCGCTTGCAAAGTTATTGCTTGCATGAGATATCTTTACCATCCTTTTATCTCTAAACTCTTTGAATCAAAGGCATGTCTCTTGTAAAGAACACAAGGTCGGTCTTGTTTTAAAAAATCCAGTCTTAGAATCTCTGTCGTTTGATTGTGGTATCTAGTCCATTCACATTTAATGTTATTATTTGTATGGTTGAAACTATATCTGCCGTTTCAATATTTGTTTTTTATCTGTCTCATGACTTTTCCTTTTGTTAGGCTTATGACTATTCCTTTTTATTGCTTTTCTTGTAATAAGTAGATACTTTCTAGTGTATGATTTTACTTCTTTTTTTTTTTGAGACAGAGTTTCGCTCTTGTTACTCAGGCTGGAGTGCAATGGCGCGATCTCGGCTCACTGCAACCTCCGCCTCCTGGGTTCAGGCAATTCTCCTGCCTCAGCCTCCTGAGTAGCTGGGATTACAGGCGTGCACCACCATGCCCAGCTAATTTTTTGTATTTTTAGTAGAGACGGGGTTTCACCACGTTGACCAGGATGGTCTCGATCTCTTGACCTCATGATCCACCTGCCTTGGCCTCCCAAAGTGCTGGGATGACAGGCATGAGCCACCGCACCCGGCAATTTTGATTCTTTTAATTTTTGATAGTTTTAATTTTAGTTCTTTTCTTAGGAGTTGCTTCATACCTGAAGCATTTAGGGAGGCAGAGCTGGTATCAGAGCAGTCGGTTACCTTGCAGATGAAAACTGCTGTCTGCTTTCTCTTGCCTGCTGGAGCCACTGGCTTCTGCTCCAATCTTCCTTTCCAGGGACTGATTTTGCCTAGAGGACCTCCTAAGTCCCAATTTGGCCTGTTGCTCAGGTTCCTACTTTCAATCTGATCCTGATGGGCTTAGACTTCTTGACCTGGGGTCCTTTATGCATCACTAGCTAGGACCCCAAGGCCTCCTGATCTTTGAGAATTCTTTCTGATCTGCCAGAAGCCAATGACTAAGCTTTTTAAATACAGAAAGCAGGGGCCTGAATCAAATAGATTGGAAAGTTTCTTTCAAATGCTATTATTCTCTTATTGTTTTAAAATAGTACTGGAAAAAATGTCTCATCCCTTACTGTTCCTATGCATCATCTCATTAAATCTCTACAAAGTATTAGTTGTGTGCTTTAAACACCCTTGTGCCTGATTTAAGAGAAATTACTGAAATTGTAACCCTGTTATGATGTGATTATTTAGTGTTAGATTTTTGTTCTATAAAACTACATAATATCTTAAATATGTTTTCTGATAGATCTAGGGCAGCGAATCCCTTCTGGATATTATTCTCTGAAATTACACTGAAAGAAATAAACAGCTGTCAGGAGTATGAAGACTAAGCCATTGGACTGCTGACTCAGTGCTCTGCAAGTTACAGTGTGTCCTAGAAAGCAAGTCACATGCCCTGACATTTAAGTACTCATTTTCTCTTGTGAGCGTCAACATAAATTACCTGTGTGAGGTTGAAAGGAGGAAGACACACAACTGGCAAATATAAATGCACGTACAGTCGCCGGCATTCCAGCTGTCCAGGCAGAGTCAGACACACAGTTAACATTCGAAACACGGTTAATGCTTCATTTTGTAATTGAGAGAGCCTATGCTCTTACTGGTTCTCTTTATCCACTGAACTACTGAATTATGTAATTGTTTGTTGCTTTCTCTTGTTTTCTCCTCAAGACTATAAAACAGTGGTAATGGAGAGAGTCGTTTACAAATATTCAACCCGTGCCTTTTGTCCTCATGCCACATTTCCTTCCAGCCTCTTTCATCTCAGAGTCAAGTCAAGGGGTGTATTGCCTGAGGCCAGCAGCAGATACATTCTGTCTTTGGCAAGAGGCTAGGCTCGAAATCCGTGCTTTGTGGATTGGGTGGATTCTTTCAGCTGCTATTGGAATATCCAGGTATTCCTTGTAGCTTAAACCATCTCTTACCGTGGAGAGGAAGGGAGTCCTTCCATGCACCTGCTGGACCTGCTTGGCCTCAGGGCTTTCTCTGATGTGGTAGGAGGAAGATGTCACAGAGGAAAGCAAAGCAAAGTCTACCTCGGCGTCTGCAAGAAAAGCAGGACGAGCGGTGTAGTGATCAGGCCGATGTAGGTGCTGAGTGTCCCTCAGGAAGCTCCAACACAAAAGGAGTGACTGAGAGCCACTGGGCGGGCCCCAAGTCCATGGTGCTAGAGCGAAGCCAGGCTGAGTCAGGGCTGGAGGTGGTTGCCTGTGTTAGATATAGTGAGCCCCAAGTTTCTCTTCAAAGAATCAGCGTGTCAGTATGTTCAGCTCTCTTATTCTTTAACTCTCCATTTTAAAGTTTAGTTTCTTTGTAGTTTCAGTAAACAACCTTTTCCACCAGTTCTAATCAGTAGTTCACGTCTGTTCCCCCATCCCCTGCTCTGTCCTGACTCATCCCGGTCACCTGCTCCTGTCACCTGCTTTGAGCCCTGGCTACCTGCTCTGACCTGCCCACGACCGTCCTTCCTGCCAAACTACCACCCCACCACTCTGGCTCATACCCCTGCTCCCTTTAAAATAGCCGATTGGGATTAGACCGGACTGTGCAGTCTAAGCCTAGCCAGTAGGGGGACTACACAGCAATAGGGGTGACCTCCGTCAGGCATAAGGACCCCTTCCCCTCCTTGTCCAGGCGTGCGCTCACCATCGTTCCACCTGTGGGCTGCACCCTTCTATAGAAGTAAATTGCCTTGCTGAGGAAATTTATATTCAAGTGCCGCTTCTTTTGCTGCACCAAAAATTTTACTTACAACACATGGGCAGCACCACAGGCACTTAGAGGTGTCTAACTGGCCATGCCCCACTAGAGTGGTTCCTGTGCTCACAGGTCCCACCATGAACCCTTCAGCCCCAGGCCTGAGCTCATAAGCAAGCAGGAAGCCCAGAAGCCAAGCAGCCAAGGGCATCCCTGACGCCCAAAGCAATACCACCACATACAAGGACACCCAGACATATCCAAGCTGGGGCTGCACAGTACCCATGGAGCCATTTAAAATTTTGTGTATGTCTTTTTTTTCCTCGTTTTTAATTTCCTTTGACACTTTGGTACAATCAGGTATTATGTATGTCTAAAGTTTAAATCAGACACGCCATTTTGTTGGGTTCTGTTGGTGGACAGAAGGGACGTTCACACACACACATGCACGCCTCCATCTGCTGGGAGCCTCTGATTTGCATAGTCGAGGTACAGAACTTAACAGAAGTGAGTGTCAATGTAGGGCGAGAGAACGTTCACAAATGTCCGACAGCTCCTGGTTCATGGACTAACTTAGGCATCAGCACAGCTGATTCTCATTCAGGAGAAGACCGTGCTGCTGTGCCCAGGGGCCCCTGAGCCATTACCCAGCTTTCTAGCTGTCTAGGAAGTCTGCACTAGAGAAGCATTCAACCTCCTCTGAGCTAACATTTTTATGTGCACGTGTGATTATGATGCAGACATTATTTTACTTGTGTATCTAATTTTTTAATCAGACTAATTTGAAAAAGTTATCAGACTAAAGTTTTGCCTGTCTTTGGGACTGTTGGAATGCAGTGAGACAGTGGGATCAGCGACAGAACATCTCCTATGGGGCACTGCATCGTGGTGAGGGGGCACTTGAAGTCTTGGCACAGAGTAACTGCTCTCCTGGGGTGCCAGAGACATTTCCCATCTCCCATCTTCCTAGCAACCACCAAGATCAAGCACAAACAGACCCTTTCCAGAATGAATCGCTACAACCCTGACAAACCCTTTTCAGAATTTCCTAACTCTTCAACTTAATGGAGTCTCAATGAAGCTAAACAATATTTTCCATGCCAGGCACCATGGCTCACGTCTGTAATCCCAGCACTTTGGGAGGCCAAGTCAGGCAAATCACGAGGTCAGGAGCTTGAGACCATCTGCGTAACATGGTGAAACCCCATCTCTACTATAATACCACAAATTAGCCAGGCGTGGTGGCGCGTGCCTGTAATCCCAGCTACTTTGGAGGCTGAGGCAGGAGAATTGCTTGAACCCAGGAGGCGGAGGTTGCAGTGAGCAGAGATCGCGCCATTGCACTCCAGCCTGGGTGACGAAGCGAGACTCTGTCTCAAAAACAAACAAAAACAAATAATAATGGGTCTTGTTTTATAAAATAAAAAAAAGAAATATGCATTTTTAGATACCAGCAGGTATCAAACAAAAAACAAAAAAGGTTTTTCTTATAATATATTGAATATATTTATCACAATATCTATTATTTTGTCTTTTCCTCACAAGTTTCTCAAACAACAATGATGAAGGCCCCTTTTCTGTAACATTAGGTTAATGTGGGTTTTCCTTACCCTCAGGTCTCTTACTGCATTATCCTTTCTTCCCTATTTTAACTCATTCCTTTCTTCCCTGTTTTATTTCTCAGATCTGTATCTTTGTTTTTAGAAACATGGTCTTGCTCTGTTGCCCAAGCTGGAGGGCAGTGGCATGATCACAGCTCATGGCAGTCTCCAACTTCCGGGACCAAGCAATCCTCCTGCCTCAGCCTCCAAGTAGCTGGGACTACAGGCATGTGGCAACACACCCAGCTAATTTAAAAAAAATTTTTTTTGTATAGAGACAGGGTCTTGCTATGTTGCCCAGGCTGGTCTTGAACTCCTGGCCTCAAGCAATCCTTCCATCTCAACCTCTCAGCACACTGGGATTTCAGGTGTGAGCCAGCATGCCCAGCCCCTATATCTATTTTTATCTCCACTCAGTTTCCAGAAGATTTTCTAATGTGCTGATTGTAACGTTCAACCCTCTGTGTTGGGATCAGGGGTCAGAGTTCGTTTGACATGATGGTCAGTAAATCTAGGGCTGTGGGATCCTTCCTTTTTCGGAAAATCATCCAGTGGAAGTTTGACAGGCCCAGATGCCTTGGAGCTATTGTCTTTGGCACTGGGCCAGCTGGTCATAGCCCGGTTTAGGGGTTGAGGAGGTAAACACCAGCAGCACTTGAGGGTATCATCTCAAGGGGAACATTGGTTGTTCCCTTGTATGATTTTGTTTCAAAATTTTGATGCATCCAAAGGCTGACACCTGTAATCCCAGCACTTTGGGAGGCCAAGGCAGGCAGATCACCTGAGGTCAGGAGTTGGAGACCAGCCTGACAAACATGGAGAAACGCCATCTCTACTAAAAATACAAAACTAGCCAACCAGCTACTTGGGAGGCTGAGGCAGGAGAATCACTTGAACCTGGGAGGCGGAGATTGCGGTGAGGAGCCAAGATTGTGCCATTGCACTTCATCCTGGGCGACAAGAGCGAAACTCCAACTCAAAAAAAAAAAAGGAAAAGAAAAGAAAGAAAAGGTGGGCAATCTTAATAAATTCAACATGGGGTTATCCTTTTTTACTTCAAATCCCAGATTTCAAGTTCCTGGCAAAGTAGATTTTCAGGCATATTTAGGTGACCTATGGGCTGGGGATGGTGACTCATGCCTATAATCCCAGCACTTTGGGAGGCTGAGGCAGGCAGATCACAAGATCAGGAGATCGAGACCAGCCTGGACAACATGGTGAAACACTATCTCCACTGAAAACATACAAAAATTAGCCAGGCATGGTGGTGTGCTCCTGTAATCTCAGCTACTCGGGAGGCTGAGGCAGGAGAAGCACTTGAACCCGGGAGGTTGCAGTGAGCCAAGATCGTGCCACTGCACGCCAGCCTGGGTGACAGAGCAAGTCTTCGTCTAAAAAAAAAAAAAAAAAAAAGGCTTTTATTTCATTGTGGTAAAATACGCATAACATAAATTTCCCATTTTAACTATTTTAAGTGTACAATTCAGAGACGTTTAGTACATGCACATTGTTGTACCACCCCACTCTCCAGTTTCAGAATCAATTCTGAAAAAGATTTCTGCAATTCCCACAATCTTGTATCCTTCATTATAAATTTAGGAAAATTATGTTTTCTTTTTCACTTTTTGTATCCAACCAGAATACATTTGATTCATCTAATTTTGAAGGTCTTGTAATACCATTTGCTCACTAAAGATGAAAAGTCAATTCAGGGAAATATCTGGAACTATCTTCAAATGAAATACAGGCAAAAGACTATTGTGTCAGGCCATTTTCATTGCTATAAAGGAATACCTGAGGTTGGGTCATTTCTAACAAAAAAAAAAAAAAAAAAAGAGGGTTTTTTTTGTTCAGGTTCTGCAGGCTGTACAAGCACAGCACTGGCATCTGCTCGGTTTCCGGTGAGACCTCAGGAAGCTTCACATCAGCGCAGAAGGCAAAGGGAGAGCAGGTGGGGGTTACACAGTGAGAGAGAGAAGTGGGAGGTCCCAGACTCTTTTAAACAACCAGATCTCACGTCAACCAACCGAACCAGAACTCACTCATCATCAAGGGGGCAGCACTAAGCCATTTGTGATGGATCTGCTCCCATGATCCAACACATCCCACCAGGTCCCACCTCCACTATTGGGGATTACATTTCAGCATCAGATTTAGAGGGGACAAATATCCAAAACATATCAACTACTTTCTTTCTTTCTTTATGTTTGAGACAGGATTTCACGCCATTGTCCAGGCTGGAGTGCAGTGATACAATCAAGGCTTACTACAGCCTTAACCTCCTGGGCTCAAGGGATCCTCCCACATATCAGGGAGCACAGGTGTGCACCACCACGCCCAGCTAATTTTTTTAATTTTAATTTTGTGTAGAGACAGGGTATCACTATGTTACCCAGACTGGTCTTGAATTACTGGACTCAAGAGATCCTCCTGCCTTGACCTTCCGAAGTATTGGGATTACAGGCACGAATCACCACACCTGGCCAAAAGGACTATTTTCTATTCAGTATAATCCACATTATTTCTTTATTATCACATATACACGTTGTTTTCTACTATCAATAGCTTTCTCACTAAGCCTGAACCATCTAAGTGAGTATAGTACAAACAGAAAAGTCATTAATTATATATGTGCCATTCTTCATAAATTCAAAGCGATTGTTGCACTTATTTTAATGTTTTAAAAACCACTATCCAACAGTGAATATTTTTAAAGCTCTTAACTGTGTGGCGAGATAAATACTTT